ATATCCATAACCATATCATTCTTTCCTCACTCAAAAATAAATCCTAGTTTCTTTACCAACTAAGTTAACTTCAAACTTTCTGTAAATCAAGCATATTAACTAAAACAAGCAATTAACAGAATATAAATAACATAATAGTGATTTAAACGCATGGAATAAATCATTTGTTCAAGTAGAAAATCACAAATATTGTAATGGCACCATGAAAATGTTGTTGTGGCTTGCCTTAGTGCAGATGAGGTTCACAAGCCTCCTGGTGATCCTCAAGACAAGCCTCACCCTCTAAAAATATTTAAAAACACAAAAAGAAAATATCAAGAAACCTTCTGAAAATCACCAGAAAATCTAGACCGCATGGAAAAATCTCATCTTTGATGAGCTGTTAGATTTCTGTACAAAGAACACAATGCAAAAAAGAATCTATTCATTTGGACTTATGGTTAAAAGGTTGTGGTTATTTGAAGTTCTCTGGAGTAAATTAAAATTTGAATTAAATAAAACAGACTGGGGAGGGTGACGTCGAAGGCGTAAAAGCCTCGGGGCGCCACCACTCGTACCGCTTCGCGCGTGTACTGACTGGCTGACTAGCGGGCCCCGCTAGTCAGGTGAGGTGGAGGGGGAGAGGGAAACAGAGGACGGCGCGGCTTCGCCGGAGCGCACGCCGGCGGCTAGGGCTCCTTGGCCAAAACGAGAGGGAGGGATCGAGAGAGGAGACAGAGGCACACCTGCCCGTACCCGTAGAGTAGCTAGGGGTGGTCGGACGGCGCTGGAATCCGCCTCTCCAGCGGAGGCAGAGAGCAGAGGTCGCCGGAGACGAAGACGACGGCGACCAGAGGTGACTCCAGGGGCTCCAACCAGGCGGAATGGCACCACCGGAGAGTGGCGGAGGCCCTGGAAGGGTTGCCCTGGCATGGGAGGGGCTAGAGCTGCGGAGACGACCCGAGGGGATCGCCGGCGAGCTCGAGCTCGGGGACGGCGGCCCGCGGCCTGCCCGGCCAGGCTACGGCTATCTACTCGTTCGTGGAGTGTGTGGGAGTGGTGGATGGTGCTCGAGGAGGCTGGGGATGGCGCTATTTATAGCCGAGCATCGAGGGGGTTTCGGGCTTCGCCGGTGGACACCTGACCATGGCACCCGACGACAAATGGTGTCAGTGAGAGGGGAAGAAGAAGACGCAGCTCACGCGGGAACTGTTGGCGAACGGGGAAGAGCACAGGGGCGAGAGGAAGGCGACGAGCATAGTGCGCCACGCACTGTTGCGTTGGCCGGACCACGCCCGTGCCCGCTACGGCGAGCTCCGGCGTCGGCGAGTGCCACGGCGGAGTTAAGTGGGTTCGGACGATGATTGTGGCGCGGTTTGGCACGCTCAGGCAGGCGGGGCAGCGAGCACGCACGCAACAACGCGCTCAGCGGCACTCAGAGCGCGTCGGTTGCATGCCAGCACGCCTGGACGAACGCAGTCACCACGTGAACTATGATCTCAGGCCGACCTAAGCCCAAACTTCATGTCTGACGTGTTGTTCGTGGTAGTTTTGAATGTTACCGCACTTGGGTTTGGTCTCAGGTGCAGTAGAAATGATTTTACACTCCTGGTAAGTTTCTGGACAGTAACTTTGAGAGCTTACTGTGGTCAAACTACTGGGAGTTGGGGGCTGGGCTTTGGAGGTTAGCAATCATCTAGTAAGGTGATGAAGCACATGAAAAACCAGCTGCAATGGTGCAAGTAAAATGGTAGTTGTTGTAGAAACTACCATTTCTGTCCAGAACAGAAAATATTTTCTGTAGCCAAAATATTCCAAAAAGTGATGAAATATTTTTGCTCAGAAAGGTGCCCTAGGGTTCAAAGAATAATTGGATTTTTTTCTCAGAATTTTATGGGCAAGAAATTTGGGGTTGCTTTGGAGCACATTGAGCTAGCTAGGGTTTAAGAGAGGGAAATGAATATTTTTCATTAAAGAAAAATATTCCAAATAATATTTTGAGATGAACCAAAGAAGGAACGATGGTTAGAGAGGGAAATGGGATACTTGGGTGAAAGCCAAGGGGTACCCAAGTGGTTAAGTCCAAATGAAAAGACTCAAAACTCCAAATTTCAAATTCAAACCAACTGAAAATCAGGCAAAGAAGAGAGGGCAAAAACCAGGTTGTCACATCCTTGTTCTATGCTTTTTGTAAGTGCTCAAAAAGAATTGGTTAATTATCAAACCATAGAATCATACAATCAGGCCAAAACAACATAGTTGGCTGCCTCGTGAACAAACTGTATTGTGTTTGCAAATTAATCCTCGACAATGCTCTTTCAATGAATATTTGATTCACTAGAGATTGAATTTATGCCAAAGTTTATTGGATTCCATAGAAAATTAAGAGCGAGAATCCTTAATGAAAATTCCTACAAATCAAGGGACCCACATGGAAAAAACGCATCCTGATTCTATCACAGGAAACTTCAATTAGAATCTTTCAAATCAATTGTTCCCTTAAAGTGAGGATATGTATGTACTACATCGGTCGATTATTACTATTAATGTTACTATTTGTATCCAAAAGAATATGCTAGGTAGGCGCCTCAAAGATGGCATGCTTTCAAGCGCTTGAATGTCATCTAGATGCTTTCATGTCGGTTCTTACTCCAAATAAATGATTGCAGAGTCTCACACGATCCTTACAATGACCAAGCAAGCACATGCCACCATGTCGACCCTCTTTACCTTTCTTAACTTCACGGCCAACAGAACATCGCGGGCTATATATATGTCAAAGCACATACACATTTCTCAATGATTCTTCCACTACTCTCAGAAAGGTTGCTATGTGCTTACCATGCATAAAAAGGAAGTATGTAGTACGTAGGATTATGAGGTAATGGGAATGTACACGCTAGTGTGGCAAGACAAGACATCAATTCTGATGACATGACCTCCATGGCCGACCCCACTATAGACGACCCTGACAGACGATGTTATCCCCAATCTTCTATTGGTGTTAGCAGGAGTTCATTTGCATCATGGGGTTGGTGTTCCAAGTGCGCATTGTGTTCGAGAGTCGTGACTATATACAGTGGCGGAGCTTG